GGGGCGGGGCGGCAGTGGAGGAGAGAGGGCGCTGCCGAGAATTGACGCGCGTTGGGGGGGTGGCTTCTGTTTGTTTGCTTCCGCCTCGCGTGCTGTCTCGGGGCACGCGCCTGCACTGCGCGCCGCCTGGCTGACGCCGCGACACTTCCGTTGCTCAACGCTCGTCTCTGGCCAACTGACTGGCTGCGATTGCTCTGCTTCAACGCGGGTGTGCCTGCACCGTCCTTTGCCCGGAGGTCCTAGGGTTCTAGTCGCCATAGTGGAGGATTTAAGGCAATAGTAGGATATCTAAATGGAATTCAACCACAGTCTGGAGACGTCTAGCGGCTTTTCTTCAAAATACACATTCCTCTATCGATTATGCGAATTTGTTATGCAAACGTTATGCGAATTTGAAACGAGTACTTTACATAAAGCCTCAACACTTTTAATTTTTTCTGAAAAATGACTCTATTGTTTTAAAAATTTATTCGTCGGATTGAGCAAAGCACAATTAAAAAATTTATATATTGCATTTTCAATGCATTGGGTGAATTTTTGAAATTGCAAAAGTTCAATTTTTTGGTTCCTTTCTACACCTACAATATTGAAAATAGAAATGTTTAAAGTGAAATGTGTTCTTCAGAGATAGCTTTTAAATAGTCATGTTCCATTTCTCGTAAATATGAGTAGTTTTCTCGTAAGCTGCATGAAATAAAATAAGCAATTTTTCAAAAAATACTTTCTCAAAAAGGCTCTAAATTTTTAATTTGTTCTCAAATACAAGAAATCAATATAGTTTTAAACGGCAAAGATTCCATTTTCGATAAAAAAATTTTAAATGTGCAAAAAATAACAATGCAAACGACAATATTGATTGTGATTTTTCGTTAATAAAATCTGTTCTAAAAATTAGATTTTTATAAAGTTAATGCACCGATTCCCCTCCTCCCAAAAAAGTGATCAGTTCTGATATGTGTAAGAAAGATTTTTCCCACTAGATTTCCAACTCAGTCATAATTAAGAGCCATTGTTCTCTTGTCGTTTAAGAGACATGTAGTTGGAGAATGTTGTAAAAAGGATATATGATACATCATGAAACATATTATTATATATGATAATTATTAAGTTAGAAATTATATTCAAAACCCAATTCGAAATAGTATTCATGAATATAACTGACAGAAAACATTATTTAATCGGAGAAATTAGAGAGTCAGCGACCTTTATACTGATTTTCATTTGCCTTGTAAAGTACTGCTCAGATCTGTGGTAAAACATTACGCCATTTTTATTGATGTGAAAGAAAGCAAAAACGTAATTTATATGAAAATAATATAATCTGGGAAAGGCAATATCTTTTCATTAGTCTTAGGAGAGGAAATGCATTACCAGAATTGAGATATTGGTGTAAACAGTTTAAGCTGGCAATAAATCTCCCTCTTCAAGTCGAAAAGCTTTCCAGGCGATTATAATTCCTATAATTGTCTTTATCGTTCGCTGGTTCCTCTACGTCTCAGATACTTCGTCACGCCTGCATCTCTCGTTCTTCCTCCCTCTATCCCTTCCCTCTTTCTATGACGTTCTTTCTCGTACTCTCTCGATCTCATTTATCTTATGTCCCACTTTCTTTCCTCCTCTTTGTCGAGTCCCCCCGGAATCATTCTCTTGTGGATTTGTCTGACTTGCCAGCAGGATATTTGTGAAACCAACGCTTTTGAATAATAAATCTTTTCATTACACGAAATACTAGCTTCAGATAACGAAGAAATATACATTTTAAAGCAGCGAAGGAAATAGTGAGGGGAAACGAAACTAATTAAGCCGAAGCTTCGGGTTGGGGAGGGGGGCGAAACAAAGGCGAGCAGCGAGCTCATCAAGAGCGCAGGTTGGAAACCGCGAAGACGGGCGGAGCAGGGGAGGCCGCGCGGAGAAGAAGAATCGGCGGCCGCCTGCGCCTCGTTCGTCGCCGCAGCCTCCGGCGCGAAGCCGCGAACCGGCGGCGGCGAGGGCGGCGG